CAAAGCTTCCCCGGCCCTCACAGGCCGTATGGAGGGACCAGCCCAAGGTCCTGCCTGCAGCCTGCCGGGTGGGGAGGTGCTGGTTTGTTCCTCCAGCACCCACAGGAGGGTATGAAGGGGTGGTAGGTGTTGTCCCACAGGGACACCTGCCTTCTGTAGGCTCAGAGGGAAACCTGCATTCTTGGCTTTGTTACTTTATAGGCTTTAGGTTGGGAGTAGAAACTGAATTTGTGCCTTCAGAGGTCCCTGGGCCAGGAACTGCCCATTTCCCCTGCCTGCAGGGACTCTTGCCATCACCTGGAGACCTTAAGACCTGAACTAGCAGGTGTTTGTCTTGTCTTTGCAGCTCCCTGGCCATTGGAACCACAACTGGATACAAGCTTTTCTCCTTGAGTTCCGTGGAGCATCTGGACCAGGTCCACGAAAGCAGTAAGTGTCCTGTTGCACTGCAGTGGGACGTTGGCCCAGAGCCTTTTCCTGTGCTCAGTGCTCCAGTCTGCCTCGAGGGGCCCATTCTGCTGCCTGCTGTGCTGGAGATGGCCTCTGCTTCTGCTGGGCCCATCACAGGGGAGCAGCTCTGCTTGCTGCCCCGTGCACAGCAGCCTGTAGAGCTCTGGAAAAGCTTCTGAGCAGTGAGTGGTACTTCAGCCAAGCTGAGGGACTCCCACAGGTTTAGAGTCCAGCCTCTTTCTCACTGCTGTCAGTCTGCCCTGCAGGCCAGCATACAGAGGTGGTCCCCCACTAACACATTTCAGATGTGGACAGGAGACCACAGACTCCCAGCACACACACAGGCTTCTTTCTAGCCCAGTGTGCTGCTCCCAGGCAAGGTGTTTTCAGCAAGTTTCCCAGGGAAGAAGGACATTCACAGCAGGGTTTCAGCTGGTAGCTGTGCTCAGAGCAGCAGGTAGGGCACTGAACAGCCCACAACAAGTCAGGCCTCATGGAGCATGTTCTCTAGTCTGGTTCAGGCTGTGGCCAGAGGTGTTTCAGCTGGGATGTGCTTCCTCTCTCTCCACTGGCTGTAGAAGGAGCCTCAGCCACCAGGCAGAGCTGCATCATCTGGAGCAAAGTCCAGGCTCCTTTCCTCTTTGTGCCACAGGGTGACTGAGCTGCTAGACAGCAGCAAGCTCTAGACTCACATCAACAGTGATTTAGGAGTTTGGTTTGCCCTCAGAGTCAGGCCAAAGAGGAACAGACCCCTGCTAGTGACACAAGCTGTCCCACCTCACAGCTGTGGAGCAGCCCCTGCACCTCCAGCACAGCCCAGCCCAGGCACTGAGCACCACTCAGGGCTGCCTGTGCAAGAAGCCAAAGTCCCTGATGATTCAGGCACAGGGCCACCAGGACCACTGCAATGGTGTCCTCTAAACACAACAGGAGTTGTCCCAAACATGATCCCTGCAAGACATACCACACCTCTGCCCACCACAGCCATGCTTGAGCTCTCTAGAGACCACAGCCCTGGTGACAGAGCTGAAATGTGTCAGCCCTCCCTGAGGAGCCTGGGAGAAACCACCCCACACAGAACAAACAGTGAGTTACACACAGCTCATGCCTTACCTCAGCAAACCCAGCCAGCTTGCTCACTCCCTCCAGAAAAGCCCCTGAGCAAGTTGGGCAAGCTCCTTTTAATTCCCCCTTCCTAAGGATTAGCTGCAGGTGGAGGGCCCTGCCCAGGAGAGGCTCCAGGGCTGCCAGAGGGGGTGGCTTAACTTCTGCCTTCAGGGGAAGGCTCATTAGCCCCCTCCTGCTCTGACCTAAACCCTTTGTGCTGGGTTTGAGAAGTTTTTAGCACCTGTTGAACACCTTAACCACTGAGCATTCCAACCCAGTTCCCTCTGGGGCCGAGTCTCACTGGTTGCTGCAGTCAAGCCAACCATAAGCTGAGCTGAAGATGCTGTTTTGCTTCCCTCCTGTGCCCAGATGAAATCCCAGATGTTTACATCGTGGAGCGCCTCTTCTCCAGCAGCCTTGTGGTCGTGGTCAGCCACGCCAAGCCACAGCAAATGAATGTCTACCACTTCAAGAAGGGGACAGAGATCTGCAACTACAGCTATTCCAGTAAGATCCTGTCCATCCGGCTGAACCGTCAGGTGAGAGCCTGGGCCAGGGGCTTGCCCAGAGTCCTGCTGCTCTGCTGGCTTCAGGAAAATGGACCTAAGTCCTTCTTTTCCAGGCAGTTACACAAAGGCTTTTTTGTTGTTTGCCTTTTTGCTTATTCAGCACGTGGCTCTGCCAAAAAAACACCTTTTCATCTTCCTCCCTCCCTCCCTTGGATGCCACATCCTGACTTCGGGCCCATCTCTGCCATCTTGGTTGCAAATGAGACCTTCAGAGCTGGTAACAAAACCCAGGAGTAACTCGAACTCCGTGGGTGAGGCAAAAGGAAAAGCTGCTTCTCAAGTGCTGCTGGCAGCCTTGGTTTATTTTTAACAGTATAGAAAACATTCAGGCCACTTAGAAGAAGGCTTTGAGAGTGTTACTCTCTGAGCTGACACTGCCTTATGCAGCCCTGAGCCCTTTTGGAGGATTTTAAGTCTTCTTTTTGTCCATAATTATTTTCCAAGTGTGTGCCATAAGAAGCAGGGGAGATTTTACAATGAAGAAATAAGCAGTCTCTGTAATTGTATATAATCAGCCTCTCCTCAATTAGCAACAGCAGGGCCTGCAGCAAGGCTCTCCCATAAGGGAACTCAGGGTTGAGTTTCCAGTAAAGCTGTCTTTGCCCAGAAGTTCCTGTACTGCAATTAAATCTGTCCTAAATTGATTTCTTTCACTTAAACTTACAACGGAGCTGGCAAAAGAAGGGACTTCCTTTGAGTTGCAGATAGATGCATACCTATAAAAATAAACTGGGAGGTTCTGCTTAGGAGCTCTAGGTGCAGATCCTGGGCTGAGCTCATCCTCTAGCCACAGCACACACATGCCTGGAGAGATTTAGAGGTGCTGCAGGTACTTGGGTAGACAGAAGAGGGATCACTGTTGCCCTCTACGTTCAAGATGTACACTGGTGGCAGGCAGGTTCTGCAGGTGCTGTGAGGTTTGAACTCCTCCCCTGGGCTGAGTATGGAAGCTCTGCTTCCTGAAAAGTCCAGAGAGAGCCACGTCCCATACAGGGTGTTAACACCAGAAAATCACAGAATCATAGACTCAGTAAGGTTGGAAAAGACCTCTAAGATCATCAAGTCCAACCATCAACCCAACACTCCCATGACCACTAAACCATGTGCCCAGTGCCATGTCTAGACATTTTTTGAACCCCTGCAGGGCTGGGGACTCCAGCACCTCCCTGGGCAGCCTGGGCCAAGGCCTCACCACTCTGCCAGGCAAGAAATTCTTCCTGCTATCCAATAGATACCTCCCCTGGTGGCAAATATATCAGGAATAGGTCTCAAACAAATGGTGCCTGTCTTGATTTGATCCCTGTGAGCAGGTCCTTGTGCCAGCAAATGAGTCCTCGGCCCTTGTTGATCCATGGGGATTCTTTGTGCCAGGCTCCAGCATAACCCCTCAGTGTGTTTGGGCAGATTGTGGCTTGTCTGGAAGTGGGAAGGGGGCTGTGGGAGTGGTGAGGAGCTCTCCTGGAGCCTCCCAGGGTTTTCCTCCACTGTGGGAACCCTGCTGAGCTCTGTGGGGAGGTGTGATACGTTTTTCTGGCTGTGCCACACCCGGCACGTCAAACTCCTCAACATGCAGCTGTTTTCTAACCCCATTCATGTCAAATCAAAGTGAGCAATAACATTTTGCACAGGATGTGGTGCCTTGGACCCCGGGCAGCCTTCACAGCACCAGGCACCCCCTCTGAGACCCTGTCTGTGTCCTCCTCACCTCAGCAGGGCTTGCACTGCTGTCAGCGTGGCCTGCAGGGCTGGGGGGTGAGCTTGTCTGGGCCTCCTTGGGCTGTCAGCTGTCCTGGATTTCATCCCTTTGGGTGCCAGCATCTCTTCATAGAATCCCTTTGGTTGGAAAAGACCTTTAAAGAGCCCTGGGTGCTGCTTTGCCATCCTGGAGCCCTCCCTTCACCTGCCCAGCAACAGCAGCACGCCTGGCGGTGCTGGGAAAGCACGTGGGGGCCCGAGTCAGCTGTATAAATATCCCTCTGACTGCCTCTGCTAGCAAGCTGATGGCTGTTACTGGAGAAAAGACAAAGTCTTCCTGGAAATGCAAATGGCTCTGACACAGCCCCAGATGCTGTGGTTAGCAGGAATAGAAGTGGGAAAGAGTTTGATCCGAGAGCAATGGTGGAGCAAGGCAAAGATTTTGCTAATGTGGGTGTTTCAAGTTAGTGACTAAGCTCCATATTTAGATACTAAATAAGTGGCCTCATTTCTAAAGAGGTGGAGGCTTCCTGTACATGGATTCGGGTGCTCCAGCTTCAGGAGCCTGGCCTTACATTTTTATTGGGAGGTTTTCAGCACTTCTGGACACTTGGCACTAACGGAGGTGGAGCTGTGCGCTCACTGGAGCTCAACTCTTCAGCCTGGTCCCCCAAAAAAAGCCTCTGTGCAAAATGCCTTCATGGGAACACGTACAGACCTGGCCCAAGCTGAGTGGTCATGGAGGTGGTGGCCCAGTGCTAAGGGTACAGCATTTGGAGGCTTCTGTTTCCCTCCTGCCTTTGCTCCCCATCGCTCGGCAGCTCCTCTCGCACTCAGCAGCCGCCTCGTGGCTGGGGGGGTGGATGTTCCTGGTGAGTTTTAGCAGGAGAGGTGCAAGCACATGAGCTTGGGAATGCTCTTACCCATCTGCTGAGGTGGTGGAAATGTCATTGTCCCTGAAGAAATGTTCCCCAGCCCACTTTCTATGCAGTTCTGCAGGGCACATAAAGCAGGGTCTCGCCTGCTGGTGCAGAGTGGGAAAAGGAACAGTCCTCTGCTGAACAAATGCAGCAGTGGGAGGCCCATCACCTAAATGTTAGCTTTCAAATCAGGAATGAGTCAGGGCAGGGGACAGGTAGTCCCATCTGTAGGCAGGACTGGCATCCTCTCTGCTGCCAGGACTTTACAGTCAAAAAGTAATTTGCTTTGAAAAGAACTGCAAGGAAAAGTGGAGGTAGGAGTAGATGGTTATCAAGGCCCATGGTAGGGTGTAACCCTCTTGTGTCCTCCTGTCCTGGGGTCTGGAGATGTGGAAGATTGGCTCTTAGAGTAGCAGAGAAGAAGTCATGGTATTTTATCTGCCTTGTAAAGCAAGACCAGGTGTAGGCAGCTCTCAAAAGCAGAGTCATCCAAAATCAAAGGCTGTCCAGGGAGAGGGGATGGAGAAGCAGAAGAGTTTCTGTTACATTTCAGTGCATGAGAAATCCCTGTTGATTTTTCCTACCAGTGAAGATTTGGGGGTGTGAACTGTGGGAGCAGCAGACAGAGGCACCGTGCCCATGCTGGTGAGGTTCTGTGCATGTCCCTTGTGTCCTTGCAGAGGCTGGTTGTGTGCCTGGAGGAGTCAATTTACATCCATAACATTAAGGACATGAAGCTTTTGAAGACTATTCTGGATACCCCTCCCAATACAACAGGTAAGGAGTGTGTGAAAGGGAGAGAGCAGCTCAGGAGCACTCAGGCTCTAATCCAATTTCTTTTCTGGCCATGGACACGTGTTGTGCTGCTCAGGTAGTAAGCTCTTCCTGGCTTAGAGTCATAAAAACATAGACTTGTTTGGGTTGGAAGAGAGCTTTAAAATCATTGAGTCCAAGTGTTCCCCCAGCACT